ACCTTGACCGAACTATTGACGAGATCACTCGGTTCGAAGTGCAAGGTGAGACTGCTGCTGGTAAACCTGCCATTGAGCAGGTCCGAGATATCGTTAAGAAGATAGAAAAGTGTGAGGGTCTATATCCCTCGTGGCAAGCGATGGGAATCGCGCACCAGCAAGTCACGTCTCAGTCGTTCCAGGAAGTCTACGATGTTGTCATGTCTTGGTATAATACCAATGAGATGATCAACACCGAATTGTCAATTCTTAAGAAATGGGTAGGTAATGAGGACCTCGATTTCCAGAGGACGAAGCAGAGGTCGCCGAGTACCAATGGTTTAAGCGACGAAACTTCATTTCTAGACCGTCTTTTGAAAGAGGACGGCCTAAGGTCGTTGCACGAAGACGACGAGACCGCAACGCAAGAACACGCTTTAAAGACAAAGTCGCTCATCCGAAGAAGCATGCTGACGCCGATCTCAGCCACTATTGCCAAGGCTAAAGAAACCCTCATTATGAACTCCGCGGCCTTCCATAAACGACACCTCCCACCTTATATTGAGGAGCTACTTACCCTTATCAGCTTTCCCTCGCGGTTGATCGAGGAAATTATCAAGGTTAGAGTAGCGTATGCCAGGAAAATGAAAGAAACCACACAGCAAACCCCTATTCTTCAAGACCAGATGATATCGCAGTTTGAGATCTTACTAAAGCTTGCAATCCGTATAAAGCAGGAGAATCTCATGGTGTCTCAGCCCCAGTCTGGATGGAACCTACCGCCATGTATTGATGAGTCGTTTGATCAGGTTGTACTCGATGCCCTGAAATATTACTTCAAGATGTTGAACTGGAAGCTTAGCAGAAATAAGAACACTTTTAAAGAGGCCGAAGTTCTGTTCCAAGAATGGGATTTCGCTAACGAAATTGGTCAGCATCTTGTTGGAGGTGACATAGAAGTCGCCGAGCAATTTAGCAACCTCACATACAAAGCCCTAAACCGCCTAAGCCAGACATTTGAGCGTGAGCTTCAGAGAAAGCCTAAGGAGAGCCCAGACGACATGAGCAAGAGGTACACGCAAATGTTGGATACAGTACGAGTTAGACAGAGAATGTTGCAGCGGTTCTCGCGGATGTTGAGCGAGCATTATGAGAACGCATCAGACATGAGCATTGCCCTTGGCGCCGAGGGCTTGAGATCCCTGTACGAACGGCTTTCGGTCACTGGGCACTTCCTCGTCGATGAAGTAGATGGCATTCAAATTATAGCATCGCCAGCTCTCATAGGTCGTGACCATGAGGTTCAATTAATACTACGAACTTGCTTCCACGAGCGGATTTCAGAGGACCCCACGGACCCTTACGTATTGATACTCCGTCCGGAGAATCCATTGCATTGGTTTGGCAATCGGCGTCCTCAGTCTCTCAATATTGAGTCACCTGATCTTAAGCTCGGCCAAATACGTCTAATCGCAGATGGATCTCAAGACCGGCTAGCGAACGCGAGGAAACTCTTCCTAGAAACAATCGATATGCATCTCGATCTTATTGTGGAAGCACGCTCAAATCTCCACAAAGTCAACACTAGACTATTCGAAATTCGAAAGGTTGGCTTCAAGCTTTCCAACACATTCATGGACAGTGTTGAGATCATCCGAAAGCAAACGAAGGGGTTCGACTGCCAAGATCTAATACAGACATGCTTCGTCTTTGCTACGGAGTTCGGCCAGAGATCGCTCCTATATATGGACAGCAACCGGCGGCAAATGAACAACATAAAGCTCACCAAACTTAGTTTGGACTGGGTTAGCTTCATATGCGATGACTGCAAAGTTACCGATCGCAAGTCTTTCCGTTGGGCTGTACCTGCGTTAGAATTTGCAATGGGCATGACAAGAGGTCGACAAATTTTAGGACTTGGCGATGACGAATACGCAAAATTACGCGCCAAAGTGTCGGGGTGCATGTCGCTTCTCATTTCGCACTTTGATATTCTAGGTGCCAAGTCTAATCAAGCCGCACAACTGGAGCGCGAGCGTATCGAGACTCTCGTTGGACAATTCAAGAGGTTCGACAAGAACCGTATGCTTGATGATGAAGAAGCCATCAAATATAAACAAGAGCAACGTCTAATCCAACTCGCTCAACTCGACGAAATACAGAGACGCAATATCGAAGAAAGACAAGGAATTGGACGAGTGCTTGAGGTTTCCAATGAAGTCGATCGATCGCTGGCTTACTTGTCATCCTCTGCTACGAATGTCACGATGAGATGGCAACAAGGACATTTCGTTGGTGGTGGTACGTTTGGTAACGTCTATGCTGCTATGAATTTAGATACTGGTCATTTGATGGCTGTAAAAGAGATCAGACTGCAAGACCCCAAATTAATACCGCAAATCGCAACACAAATCAAAGACGAGATGGGTGTTTTGGAAGTTCTCAACCATCCCAACGTAGTCTCCTACCACGGTATCGAAGTGCATCGCGACAGGGTCTATATTTTTATGGAGTTTTGCTCCGGTGGTTCGTTGGCTGCTCTGTTGGAGCATGGTCGGATCGAGGATGAGCAAGTTGTCATGGTTTATGCACTGCAGCTTCTTGAAGGTCTCGCTTACCTTCATGAGAGTGGTATCGCTCATCGTGACATCAAACCAGAGAGTAAGTTCACCCCTTTCATTATTGTCCCCGAAACAACCCCATGCTAAATAGCATCCAGATATCCTACTCGACCACAATGGTGTCATCAAATACGTTGACTTTGGCGCTGCCAAGGTTATTGCACGACAAGGACGCACTCTCGTACACGGCTTATCTGCCACGAAACCTAATAAGTCGATGACAGGCACGCCCATGTATATGTCTCCCGAAGTTATCAAGGGTGAGAATCCAGGGCGCGCTGGAGCCGTAGACGTGTGGTCGCTTGGGTGCGTAATTCTCGAAATGGTCACGGGCCGCCGACCGTGGTCAAACCTCGATAATGAGTGGGCGATTATGTATAACATTGCTCAAGGCAATCCCCCGCAGCTTCCAAATATAGATCAGTTGAGCGCGCAAGGAATCGACTTCTTGAACAAGTGCTTTGTCCGAGACCCGAAAAGAAGAGCAAGCGCTGTCGAATTACTTCAACACGAATGGATCATGTGGATCCGCAACCAAGTCGTCGAGCCACCGACTCCAAGTGACACCAGCAGCAACTCAGCTCAAAGTACACCACATCCTTTTTCGGGAATCAGGGGAAGTGCGGGTGGAGATGGCTTTTATTAGGAATACGGGCCTGAAGATTTGCCTTTAATTCAAGTTACAGAAACCAAAAAGGATGGGATCCCGCCGCTTAGCGAGACAATACTGACTACACCAGGTGACAATGCTACTATTCCATTCCCGGCGTACGTAGACAGGGAATTCAACGCGAGTAGCCGGCTACTTCCTCCTACTAACATGCAGGCGGCGCAAGAGTCTGCGAGAAGGGCTCATATTAGAGAATCTGTCAGTCGAGCAAGAGCGGAATCCGAATCAGCTATGCCTAGCACTTTCCTATTTGACACTCTAGAAAGAGAGTTCGGTCCCAGCTCATCCAACAGCGGACCTTGAAACTCCATGATGATGATGCGGGACTGTTTGGCGGTATGAAGGGGACGAGGGGGATAAGGAAAGCTTATTGTATGGGGTTATATATAATACGACTACGACGGCAGAACAATGTTTGAGATGCACTGACGACTTGAGATTCATACGTCCGGCTGCATGAGCGATGGAGTCGAGAGTGGTTTTTGTTTTTCGGCATTTTTGGGCGTTACGGACTGTACAACGGGGAACTAACTAGGGACGCCTCGGGGCTATACTCATTTATTTGGTAGACTACTATGCTAGTCAAGATGTTACTATATAACCCTAGGTAGACTAGTTGCTCGGAGGGAGACCGATGCGGTCGGTTGGTCGGTCGGTCAGTCAGTCGTCAGTCAGTCAGGACTGTATCGGTGGAGTTGGAAGTCTTACGTATATATGTTATACAACTAACTAATACCCTGTAATCGCTTACCTCGGCGTCCCACGTGAGAACGTAGCATTGCATCGATGCTGTTGTTTTACCTTGCCGCACTGTCTTGCTTATTCATGGCGGCATCCTCGCTTCCTATACGACGTCCCGGCCGGAGAGCAGTCCGCGATGGTATTACCCGAAACAGAGCGGAGTACGGAGTAAATGTCTTCGGAGATAGGTCGTTCCTCGGCGAGACGGAGGGCGCCGCGCGGTGCGAGACGCGTAAGTCGTTTTTGGCGTTTTGATGGCGCATGATGATGATGATGATGATGATTTTACGTGTATAGTATTACAAAAGGAGGAAAGGGAAGGGAAGGGGAAGGGGGGGTTCATAACTCGATGTATTGGTGTGTTACATGTGTTACATGTGTTACACGTATGGCTGTTATAGCTATGTGAGGATGGCTGTCGAATAGACAGGCAGGCTAGGTGGTTTATATTGACTACCTATGTATTGGACTTGTCTGTGGCTGTAAAAGAGCTGGCTATCAGGTAGCTAGCTACTATAGGTAGAAGAAAGTAATGAATGTAAATGATACCTACATACCTAAAGTAGGTAAATGCATAGATGTCGATCATGGAATATCCCCCCCCCCCCCAGCATTACTAGAGCGACCCTACCCTACCCTATCCTACCCTACCCTACCTTAAAAGATATATAATAAATACCTACCTATATGTCTACCTACCTACGAAACCAAAGCGCTTGGCATAGACGCTGGGAAGGTAACATAAGCAGCTAAGCAGGTAGGTATGTAACAGTCACGCCGCTGCAACAGTGACGGGGCGAGGCCTCAACTCCTTAAATATAAACAACACACCAAGCGCAGATGCAATCACGTACAAGCAAGATTTTCTCGCGCCAATCATTACAACGGTGTTAGATAGATAATAAGAACTAGGAACCGCCGTATCGATTATCTCGTCCGATTGGTAATGAATATCGAACTATACTGCAGCTGAGAATTGGGGTAGGGATACGTGATGTGACTGACGCTTGTGTTAAGGGAACCGGTGTGCTGATCCTGGAGGGCATGAATCTTTCTTGGTGTTTTCTGCTCAAGCCCTAAGATACATGCGATGTAGGGAGTTGGTATACCCCAGTTCTCTGTGCCGTGATATCCACTCCAAGGCCAGTCCTCGGGCTGTCTCTCCTATTTAACGATAGGTTGGGCATCTCTTAGCACGCGCGTGGTTCGGTGTGATCAAATGTGCTTCCAACAGCCTTGAGTTGCGCCGTCACTTCAGTCACTGTCTCCATCATCAAGAGCGTCGTCGTGATCATCACGGGGTTCGCGGTCCTCCAAGCGGTCAGGGTCATTCCCCTCTTCTTCTTCTTCTTCTTCTTCCTCCTCCTCCTCTTCTTCCTCTTCCTCCTCTTCACCGCCCTCATTCTCGTCCTCTTCCTCGTCTTCTTGCTCTGGCTCCGGTTCCGTCTCAGCATCACTATGTTCGCGCAGCTCGTCACCAACATCTACTTCCATAGCCGAGTCATCAGGCGCGTTGGGCTTCTGTTTCTTCAGGGCGCGCGAGCCTGATGAATCCGGCTGACTCGTAGCTGCGGTAGAGGCAGCCGACATCATAGAGGAATTGGGTTCCACACCAGCCTTCTCAGCCTTTTTCGCAGCAGCCACCTTTCTACGGTAAGTATTACGTTTTGTTGTCTGGGTCTCGTTAAACTCTAGAGTTTGTGTAAGTCATTAGTAGTTTGCGTCGCATAGGATAAGCGAGACAGGATCAATGCGTACTCTTGAATTCAGCCTCGAGCCTTTCGCGGAAGAAAGGGAATTCTATATCATCGAGGGCGGTGAAGACATCAGCAGGCATGATAGTCTTCTTGTTAGAGCTTTGTGTATGCTCGTTTGCTCTGTTACCGGGTTAGACATCTGACATAAACTCTCTCGCAAAGCTCTAGTTTTTATATAGGAACGTACGCATTAGCAAGGTGGCTAATGAATACAGTAGCGCTCTTGCTCATGGCCAGGATAGCATTTGCTTGGATCTGGGTATTCGGAGGCAGGACACCTTTGGCGAGGCGCATTATTATTGACTTCGGAAGGGTGACATCCTATAATAAAATCGAGTCCTTAGTCACAATTTGCGCAAAGCAGTTATTTCCTTGCGTACCTCAATGGTAACATTATCCTTAGAAGTGCTATCTTTCCTTTCCTTGTCTTTCTCTGTAGGCGATGCAGCAGCCTCCACAGGTCGTTGGGTATCCATTTCTATCGAGGGCGTAGGTTGTGGCTGCACGGGCTTAGACCGCGCGGGAACCGAGATAATAGGGCGAAGGGAAGTAGAAGAAGTATCTACATCGGCATCGGAGCCGTCGTAGACGAACTGGGCCATGGATAAGTTGCTCTGTCGAGCATTGTCAGTTTTACGGGGCGGCATGGTGCAAAGTTAGTGCACCGAGGACCGAGGACAGAGGACCGTGCAATTGGGATGCAAAAGCTGTGTCGGGGGAAGACGTCACTGGCTATTACGCGAATTATTGGTAGAGTCTGTACTTGAGGATGTAGAATGAAAAGTCGTGGCTGATTTAGTTGATCATTGGAACTTAATTGATTATGTCTAAGTGAAGGATGGAGAAGGTACGAATACAATACATGAGATTATTCCACTAATAGCGCGTGCCCCACGTTTTGACGCGCCCCAGACGCGTAAAGAGCTTTCCAAGTTAATAAGGTTGGGAAGGAGCTTTAGTTATTTTTTAATAACCTTGATTAACTGCTAGGTTAGGTTAGTTCTCTATCTCTTATTCTTTCTTCTTTCCTCTTTCTACTATTATTGCAATCTCAGGTCTTTCTATTTGATTTGATTTTTATTTATTTTTATTTTATTTATTACTTTTTACAGACCTCTAAACAGCCATTTCCCTTTTCTGTTAAATATGTTCAATGATTATTCCACACCATGAATAGCATCAAAGCAATACCCTCCAACATTCCAGGCTCAACAAGTTATCAATTAGACAAGTTCAACCCAGCCCCCTTAACACACTTGAATTTTCCGATCAGCCCAATGAGCCTTGGTCTTCTTATCAAACGAGCCAGCAGCTTATAATGAGACTTAGTTATACCTATTTCGGGGGGCTAACTGCACACCCAAAACAACACTTGGCAACTCCACGTGCCATATAAAAAGGAACTCGGAACGGCAGCAGAATATGCCGCATAAAACATACCCACTTAAGCAACCTCCCTACTCCCTGGGGAACAATGTTTGATCGGCTGCAAGGTTAACAGTACACTATGTAATAGTATGTACATAGTCACAAACAGGATTATGTACGCACAACAAATATCACACGCATGAATCACGAATATCGATGAACATGGTAATAAAACGTGGCAGACACGAGAGTCTATAATGGCGATCACTGATCCACGAGATCCACGAGAGATCCCCGGGACACCCCCAGTTGTGACGACCGCTCCGTAACGGCCCCATCCTCCCTTTCTGCAACCTTGTGATTCGGCATGCGTTTCATTTTGCAGATTCCGGACGGATGGAAATTCGAACCGAGCCTAGCATCAACTGTAATTTCACAACCACCAAAACTTGAGGCTAGCAAAGACCCTAAGAATGTTTTACTTCGTTTCAATTAAATTTTGTAATTGAATAGCAGGAGGCTTCAGGCCAACTACAGGTGTAGTTTTACCTACAGTCCGAATTTAATAAGTCGCTGGAGAATTGAGGATTTGGCAGTTATACCTCACTACCTAGGTATACTCCCCTACTCCCCTTATAGCCTCCTCTGCTCAAGCCCCTAAAGGCCCATTTCCCTACCTAACGTCAGTGGGTTAAATGAGTCCGAGCAACATTAAGACCTCTTTCTGCCTTGTCGCCCTACTTTACTTGAGCTTTTCATAATGCAATGTCATATCTTTAATGACATAATGATAAACCATCAAGATATCGCCCCCATGCCCAATGCAGAAATGCCATCTTGTCAAATCCCTCTTAGGGGATGCCATAACGCTTCATCAATAAGCTTCCAGGGTAAAACAAAAAGAAATCTGGGGTATATCCTTCGTGTCTCGCGTTTCTCGCGTCTTGACGTTCCTAAAAACTCCTGAGGAAGAAAAAAAAGTTTAATGCAATTAAAAAATATATATTGTTGCTGTCGGCGTTGTGCCACAAAGCCAAGAAATCGGGATGTATAAAAAAAAATGGCATCATGTTGATGCATCGAAAAGGGGTATGAAGCTGACAGGTGAGACAAAGGGCCTGCTATTGGCTGGCTAACATGCAGTTTCCAAAGCGAGGCTGACCCTTAAGCAACCTGAACGATGAAGGCGCACGGTCCTCTTCGTTCAGTTTCGTTCCGTCGAACATCCACGTGTAGGTATGATGGTATTGTTTCTTTGGCAGTGCGCGAGGATAGTCGAGCCGGTCCTTGTTAATTCCCCAAGGCATGTTCAAGGGCTGAAACAGACGAAGCACGTCTAGATACACCCCCCTCCACCCCTAGCAAATCCTCAAGGTTTGGATGTACAAACCACAGGGATGGGAGACTTGGATGTCGAAATAGACGACGAATTATAATTCTCAGCCGACAGCCAATCCTATGGTGCTTTCATTCCGCCGCGATGGAGGCGGCGATAAGCCCGTAAATTGGTCGTTTTCTCCATAAGATATTCTCGGCGGCGGCGGAAGCGGTGAATTCGAGTAGATACGATGGATTCGTGAGTAGCCTTCACTCGAGCCCCTAGGAGGCGATGTTTCTACTGCACTATCCCGCCATGAAGGTTCGGAAAAACTTCTTAAACTGTTGCTACGCGATTCTTTTCGATTGTTCATGACCGGCGAGTTCGGTGGTAATTTATGCAATCTTGACGGGTGTCGTCTCGGGGCTGGTAGGAATGGGTCGTCTCCAGGGATCGCCTCGTCCGTCAGACCGGATCGTGCGTTCGGTGCCCGTGCCAAAACAGCCCCGGGAATTTCCGGTAGGTCAAAGCTGTTCTTGTCGCCGATAAACGATCTCGGCGATATTACTTCGAGAGATGGCCGAGCGCCGTTTTGGTATTGGATTAAGCTTGGGGCTCTTCTGGTAGATGTTGATATTGATCCGTTCTGCGAGTAAGTGGGCCGAGTCGTAAACCTATTGGCCTTCTCTGCTGATCGATCCGACTTCCACGTTGCTATCTCATCGTCACCGATCGGAGTGATGCCTCTGTTAAATATTGGTAATCTTCTCCGCCGATCTCCCGTGCATAAATAAGCCCCCACTGCAATTAAAACTACACCTGCGACGCTCAGAACCGTACTAAGGACGATAGTTAATATTGAACTTCCGCTTCCGTTATCATTCGAGCTGGCACTGCTGGGAGTCGAAGTAGAACTGGGCATCGTGGCTGTTCCGGTAGGTAGGGAAACGGGGTTGGAATTCAGCACAATGGCTGTCGTTTTAGAATTTTCACTCAGTGTCAAGCTGGTAACACTAGATGTGATTTTAGAGGCAAGGAAAGTGGTCGGTGAGGGTAATCCCGCCGACCGAGAATTTGTCGTAATGACAGTCGTGAGCTGGGCCGATGGAGTTTCGGGCAAAGCTACAGTAGTTGGAGTATTTGGTGAAGCGAAAGTGAGTATTGCTGTGCCAACCACAGTTTCAACGATAGTCGATATCGTTACTAGATTGGCAGTATTTTCTACCGGTGGCAATAATTCCACTGGAGGTGGTGGCCTTCCAGGAGCGGGCGGGCCCGGAGGACCGATACCGTCAAGACCTGGTGGGCCACGTTCCTGCTTCGTGATGCTCGACGGAGTGGTATCCCGTAACGAAGTGGCTACCAGTGAAGGTGCCAGAGGTTCTGTACAAACAAGTTAGCAACCCGATTCACAAAGATTGAGTATCACGGAAATCAACATAGTCTGCCTTGAACGAACCCTTCTGACTGCTCAGACTTGGCAATGGCAGGACTACCGACAAGTTCCCACTTGGGGCATTCTGACGAGCATATAATCGTGAAGTTCGAGCTACACCAGGTAAGCCCAGTAAAAGATAGACCGTCAAAAATATCATAGCGAGCGTCTCCAGTCATCAGTCTCAGCTCAGCTGGACGAATATTCATCAAAGCTCCTCAACCACGTTCACCACGTTGACCAAGTAAATAATCAATGATAAGTCGCATTCAGCCATTGACCCGCCTGGCTATTATGAAGTATTTGTAGTATGAATTGAGCGAAATGAAGACAAAGAAAACTGCAGCTGGATTGTTAGGGGAAACAGGTAAGAAGAAATCAACTAACACTTAATGAGTGTTTCTCACTCAAGAACCTGTTGGAGTTTGAGGGGCGGCGGAACAAGGAAGAATAAGCTTGATAACTGTTCAGTATACAGTATGTAAGTTGGTCTCTTCATGTAAGAAGGAGATGGGAATCCCCGCTGGAGACCAAAACTTGAAACAAAGGACTGGCGAAATACGAAATTGCAGTATTCCACCCATATGTATAGGAGCGCAAGCTCTATACCTAGGGTGACCTTTTTGCTGCTGGTCGAAACGGAGCCGTGCGCAGAGGAAATCTACGCTAGGGAGAAATGACTGGAGAGGGGGGCAAGAGATCTTGATATTCCTATTTGCGTGGAGGCGAGGAGAAGACATTCACCTACTATGTACATAGACCGGATCTACAAGGGTTAGTAACACACCAAGCCGTAGAAAAATGTGGACAATGCAAGCCGAGAAGGGTGTGCGGTTGTACATAATTAAGAGGGGAGTGGATCTTGGTGCCGTACATATGTAAGTGCGAGCCTGTTTTTAACAAGGGGAAGCTATATGTAAGTCCAGGTATGTTTTCGCGCGGGTTGTTTCGAGAACATCATACTGGACCCATCATCACAGCGATCGACAAGAGCTAGAAGGTGATAACTCGATGAGGCTGGAAACGGGCATGAAAAAAAAAGGGCCCATTGCTGATCGCTATGGGGGTTCCCGAAGGACTTATTTAGAAGATTCCTTCGCAATGGATCTACTGGAGCACCTCGACCTTTGTATGTAGCTGCACCTCATGATACCTTTCTACACTAACGTTGATCCCAGATAAGACAAGGGGGTAGCTTACCTAGTCTTAGAGTTGGCGCCCTCGGATAATAGAGAACCTAGCAAGGGTTGTATTTCATGGTCAGACCCACGACCACGAAAAGCTAGGTTTGCGAGGAAATCCGTACGGTATCGAAGGTACAATTTCCTAGGTTAGTACGGAATTTGAAAAGACTCTCTCCCCTAACTTAGCCCCAACTTGGCCCCATCAAATCCCACGATTTATATATGATTTACGGATTACTTACATATGTACATGGTGCATACCGTTCAAAATGTGGTTAAGCTAGGTAGGTAGGGCCAGTCGAGATAATGAGAAACACGGCCCACGAGGCGCCAGGTGTTCGCGGCCCTTCTTTCAGTCTTTGAGACAAGACCTTGGCTACAGCCTTTCTTCACCTACCTACTTTGGGGGATGCGTTAGTACTATTTCCTCGTAGGGCTCCTGCTAAGATTCAGGTACGCGAGGCATAAATGTAGAGGCTGGCGAATGAGAGATCTAAGGCGCACCTCTTCCAAGAGTAGGGCCTCGTGGATTAGGCGGGGTGGTGTGAGTAAAGTACACTAGCCTCAGTCGAGTTTAAGAGTCGAGGTATGCAAGGCCAGAATAGGAGGAGAGGAGGGGTTATCCAGATCTAGCGAATAATAGCGCTCTCAGGGCCGGGTCAACCACCTTTTTGCTATTTCCCCTCGACTACCGAAAACGGGACCTCGCATCGACGACATCTCTGTCACAACTTGTGCCAACCGGGTTACACGCTCCCACGCATTGAGTATATTAGGCAGGGCCCGTCAGGCCAATCTGACGTCCCCCTCCCTTCCAGAGCGTCAACGTGCTAGAAACGTGCGTGCTATCGTGAGCGTGGGATTCGTCGATCGTGTGTGTGTGTGTCTTGTCTCGGAGACGTTTGCTTACTTGCCTTTGCCTGCTTGGGCTTAATGTATGCAGGTAAGAAGGGTGGGTGGGTGAAACCCGCCGTTCGGCTTCTGCATGTCCTTATTCTACGGTGCATGCTGCTGCTGGTCACCACTGCATGGGAAATCAGAAGGGCGAGCTAACCAGGCTGAGGTTTTGTCCGCAAATGTGAGTCCAGCATCGTGCAACCTCTTCGGCCAAGTAAGAGTTCTGCCCTAAACAGACGAGATGTGACAGCCTCTTTTGCAACTGTCTCTAGTTAATATCTTCTTCTCTGGCGGTGATTATAGATAGTTGCTTCTGTTTTAGGATCGGTCCGTATAAGTCAATGTCTCGTCATATCTAAACAGTGGCTTGGCCCGGCCTCTACTTCTCGATTGACAGGCGGCGTTGTCTCGAATAGAGATTCATACATATACCGATGTACGTCATCAATCATAAGAAAGTCGAAACAAGCCACAATGCCGTGTTTCAATGCTGTATGCTGTGTTTAGAGTATCAACAACTGGTTTCGGTCTAATTGTGACCCGACCTTGAGAGTGTTGTAACCTCCGTTGGCGGTTCGGTGGTGGTGTGGACTGCCATTGGGCGATCCCTTTGTTTTCGGACCCCATAGTCCGGAATATTTAATCCTACTTCGATTCCTGATTCCTATTGCAACTACGACACCCTGTCGGGCAAGGAAAGCTACCGAGATCTCCTCACCTATCTAATCGGCCTGGCGAATAGCAGTAGGTCGAGCCTAGGTGAATAGTATTTGACGCTTTCAGCCCGCAGGTGATGAAACAAGAGTCGACCGTCGTGTACGGCTGCCATTGGCCCGGTGTGTTGAGCTACTAATGTGCCTCGCCCAAGTACAATGTAGTAGACATGAGTAGATGCATGTAATATGTACCTACACTCGGGGGCATGGACAGAAGTGTCGTCGGCTCCGAAATATTGAACCGGCCATTTATTACAAGCTTCACGATAGTATTCTGACTTTTAGTTATGGTGTTGAGAAAAATCAATCAAATGACCAGGCCAGAAGAAGCGGTCAAGCTCAGAAATCTCCTGAGGCTCAGAGCGTGAACTGGGCGAATGCCACAATGTAATTTCACGACAGAAATGAGCGTCGATGGCGATGTAACGGAAGACTTCCAAGGTTCGCGCGCCAATCTTTTTAGAGCTTTAGGTAAGCTCGAGAAAATCTACCTAGGTACAATACTTTAACTACATAAGGTAGGTAGGTACATAAAACTTGTACATTAGCCCCCATAATTAACCGCAACTGATCCCGTTAACTCCGTTAGTACTGTAGCTACGTACTACCGTTTCTTTACGGAGATCGGCTTGTTAACCGTGGTCCAAGCTCTGTGATATTTCATACATGCAGCAAAAATCCCTGCGTACACGTACTTACATCAGAGATACATAAAATAATAATTGTCTTTCTCCAAACAAACCAAAAGCGTCTGTCTTGAGGTACATAAACAGCTCAGCCACCCCCATCCATAATAGTTATCGTACGAGTAGATGTCATTGAGGTATCCCCAGATTGATGCTCTACACTATGTATGTACATAGCTCTCTAACCTAGGTACACTAATGCGTACGGCTTACAGCTTACACTTCCACTGAAAGGTCCTCTGAAAAGTCAAAGCACCTAAATCGTCGTCAGCCTGCTAAGCCGAAGACCGAAAACTCTCCTGTTGATCTTCGTATGTGCATACAAGAATGAGGCAAAGCAAGAAGCTTTGGTTTATATTTCCCGTAACTACCTAGTTATCGTGTGGAACTACGTACTAAACATAACAAAAGTTGTGGAGATGGCAAACCCGAAATTGGGAACATCCGTTCTCCCTTTCGCTACTTGTTACCAATTCATGCCGCCTCTCGAAAGTTGGGACGGACAAAGTCATTAATTCTCCGACCCATCGGAATGTTAGTTCAGGGTTCACTACCTGATCTACTAATATAGGGCTTACACGTCTATATTAATACACTTTACATTACATAGTATGTACATATCTAGTGCGTGTTGGTTATACGATACCGATAATGCCCATCGCAATCCTCTTGATAAGCAATTTATGCACTTCAGCTGATCGTATACATAAAGCCGGCCACATGACTCGATAGTGGATGCATCCCCGAGGCGTAGCAAGCAAGGAAACGCTAGACTGTGCGGCTGGCTGGCTAGCTAAGTTAGGTACGTACATGGATCAAGCTTGTAAATGACTTAAATGACTTACTAATTTACGCCAGCCGATGAATTATCGCGTTGTGTAGCACGCTGTTCAGCCTTGTCTCGGAAAGACATGTGATAAACTAATTCAAGACACGAATATGCAAATTTATAGATTTTCTTACCTGTATCTAACATATAAGTATACCTATTGGAGTATATACACATATATGCACTCAACATTACCTGCAAACGCCCTTGCAGCACCGCGATGCAGTGTACCTGACAGGTCGTGGGGTCGCTCGGCATATTGGCTGCACGCTGAATTGATGACGATATATCGAATCTAATTTAGGTTGTCTGCCGGTCGCCTAACGGGCATTTCATGTACATACGTAAACACCTAAAGTGCTTGCATATGTTACACGTAAAGGCTGACATTTTTGGAGCTTGGCCCGATATATACATGTATTCGTCCCTTTGCGGATAATAATAAGGCTTGTTAATACGAGAGAATATTTGGGGGAATATGTAGGTATCTTGGGTACATACCTAATGTACCTACCTAGGTACGCATGCACCTATGTATAAATGTATATAATTCTAAGTGTTCCGTAAGGTGTGGCACGTTAGGTACCTAGGTACATGTAGGTATGTATGTACATTAGTGTAAGTACCTACTAATGTAGGGACTTACTACATGTAGGCAGCCCTATACGCTAAACTTACCGGTTGGAAGCCACGTACGACCCACTTCTATGTACATCTCATTCGTCCATTTCCCATCTGATCCTTCAACTTCTCAACTTCAATATTGACAAGCCTACTCCAATATTTCACCGCCAGTCTTACGTCTCTAAATCCTACCAACGTCCCGACGTTCTGGTATGCTTTTGATGAAGCACACTATTACTAAGGAGTTGCTGAAAAAGGCGCCCTGCAGGAAAAATCCCATGGTTAATATTTGTTCCTACGTAATGTATGTTCTGCCCCCTCATGCAAATAGTAAGCCTCTAAGGTAACAGTTGAGGATATACTGTTGATTGGATACCTACTCTACATTATATTCCTAATGAGGTCAAAAGGCTAAATCATATCGCCTTGTTTTGAGCATA